GTAGTGAGTTCACCTCAATGTGGAAGTTGATTTTCCGATCCTTTCCTCCGTGGCTATAACCAGGCTGTATGTCAATGATGATACAAGCGATACGGCGATCTAGCAACCAGGCTGTATGTCAATGATGATACAAGAAATGAAGGGTGCAACTGTTCCAATATTTTTGAGCTAACAGATCCCTTTTCAACGAATTCAGATCGAGGCACTGAACGGAATAGAAGCTTTACAATGTTAGTATCCATTGTGGCTAACTCTTTCGTCTTCACCATGCTCTGCGCAAGCATGTATAGCTAGCGTTGACGTATGGCAAATGATTCTTTTCATACATAAATATACAATAAGCTATAAAATATAAAGCATGTATAAACATAATATATCCAAACAACTAAAGTGGAAAACAAACTGCCAGTGGCTACATCACGATCCGTAAGATAAGATGAAGTCTAAATAAATAGATCTCGAAATGGCCAACACGGGTCTCGTTATGGACAATGTGGAACATGGAGAAAATATGAAGTAGAATGAATTAAAAAACAACAACTCAAAAGTATCGGAATGATCATACATTAACATTTAACAAAACTATGTACCTGGTGATACAATCCATTTAAATATCGGAAATGAACTGAACTTTTCATCAAACTCGCTATAGGTGTTAGAAATGGCCGGCTTTAAAATTGCACTCATAAGTTGACTGTGATAACTTGCAACGCGATCTTAAAAGATAGCTTCTAACGTTTACCATGGTATAGAGAGTGGTTTTACTATAATCGATCATTGGCTAAATCACTATCATGTACTATCTGAGACCAATGAACTTAATAACTAGACGTGTAAAATTTAAACAAACCACCAGTGGCAAAAAAATTTTAAAAAGGAGGAGGAGGTGTAAGGGGGGGGGGGGGCACCAACAGCATAGTTAAACCCAAAAATCAAAATATAAGAGAGCAGTGGACGTGGGGTCCACCAGTGGCAAAAAAATTTTAAAAAGGAGGAGGAGGTGTAAGGGGGGGGGGGGTACCAACAGCATAGTTCAATCCAAAGATCAAAATATAAGTGAGCAGTTGACGTGGGGGGGGGGTGACGGCACTCAGCGCAAAATAATTCGTCCTGAACTGGAAAAAAGGGGGTTGGGGGTAGTTCTAAGAAGGTGTTTTGAGTACATTGAACTTTTAAGGTCAGCTTGATTTCGACACAAAGTGGACTCACTCTTGAGTGGAAAATACAGAAATCTGGCTGTCATTATTTAATGTTCTTGTATTTCTCCAGGATATCTGCAAAAGAAACAATTAACATCGTATTGCAAAATGAAGAAAGAAAAATAACTGCAACCCTGGAATGAGATGTCTTGACAGTAGCTTCACTTTGGATCCAAGGCGATATGTGAAGCAAAATCTCAATCAAATTTTTTCCTTTACCTGTCGCTTATTCATTTACGTCTCAGTGATTTCTTCTTTGGTATATTATTCACTCTCCTGATCCAATTTGGTCTCTGTGTTAGCATCTCATTAAGACGAATATTGTCACAGCTGAGAGTGTTTGCTACAACTATAAGTGGTCGACTGGTGACTGTAATCAAGTGATGAAGTCACACTCATAATACCTACAATTGTTTATGAATTGATGACTGTGCAACTGAAGGCATCTACATTCGACCTGACAAAACACAAGTCAAAATGTCGAAGGCGACCAACTCCTCTTTCTCTCCGGCTGGCAGGCAAAATCTACGGACGGTTAATTGACCCACTTCCCGTTTACCTATCGAGCTGAAAATTGGCACATAGACTCGTTGCCACTGTCAATACATTCTGTCGAATTTTCATCACGACACCCTGAACTCAAACCCCCCCCCCCCCCCCTCCAAAAAAAAAAAAAATCAGCTTTTCCTGTTTTACAAAGGAACGATAAAATAATTATGATGACACTTATTTCACTAAATAACTTCGTTAGATTAGATTTTTAAAACAAATATAGCAATTGCGGTTTGTGCGTAAAATTTTATTTTCGTTCTCTTAAAGACTTGCTGAAATGAATGCGGCGTAAAGCCGGGTGCGTCATAAGCATATTAATATAGGTCATGGGTGATAAGTCAAAGTCAATCCATTACATGATCTTACACATTAAACAAACACAGTTAACCAAATGTTCTGACAGATAGCATAAACACAAGCAGCTCAGTTTTCGTACAGCTTACATACACACAACCCGCTAAAAATTCTTACAAAAATACGGAAACCAGTGCCTCTCAAGAGACAAACCCAAGTGGACACCAGTTAGGTTGTGTTCACGTGACGACAGTGACTGTACACAATTATATCGTCTTGACATCGTGCAGCTTCAAAGATCTTCTTAACAAAACAAGTGGCTGGCTTCGAACGGTTGAATGTTTTCAGATACGCCTCGGTAGACACTGAGGCGAATACGTAAATGGAGTGTGAAAATAGAACCAAAAACATGAAATAGTGTCCCTAAATTCTGTATTCTACGAATAAATATAATTAAGAGGATTAATAAGTCTTAATACAGACATTTACCGAAAATCACAACTTGACATCGTTGGTGTAAACACACAGTTTTTACAAAGCATTTAAAACCGCACAATTTGCCTTATGTTAGGAAAAAAATGCTGGCTGTTCATTTCATTCTTATCCATTACAGAATACAAGTAATATAAATGAGGTAAATAATTTTTAATCATGAAAACAGTTTTTTTTTTTTCAACAAGAATACAAGTCATCCAGATATTTGACATGTCCTTAACTTTTATGCTAATTAATTACAGTGACAACTGTCCATTTAATTTCTGCAGCCCCAAGCAGTATCATATTTAGCAACCCCATAAAATTTCAAACACTCCCCCCCCCCACCCCACGTATGATTAATTTTCGAAATTAATAAATACAACTTTTGGCTTTTTTTTTTTTTCAACAAGAATACAATTCATCCAGATATTTGACATGTCCTTAACTTTTATGCTAATTAATTACAGTGACAACTGTCCATTTAATTTCTGAAGCCCCAAGCAGTATCATATTTAGCAACCCCATAAAATTTCAAACACTCCCCCCCCCCCACCCCACGTATGATTAATTTTCGAAATTAATAAATACAACTTTTGGCCGACCCTAATGCAATATTACATTCGGATTGAATGGAAGAGCCGCTACTGGTTGCCATCATCTGTATTTAGAAAACATTGGCATTTTTATTTCTGTTGGGTGGCTTTTTCAAAACGCCTCACAATGTAAAATTAAATGTGGCGTACAATGTTCGTATCGGGTTACAGACGTTATAATTGTGTTTTAGATGTTGGGTATGTGTACGAAGTATAATGTAAAATTAACAACTAATACAATACATAATACAATAACGTACACAAAATAAAAATCACAAAGAGAAGAGGTCATGTGCCGGCCGGCCACAGGTACGACCAAGTAGTTGGTGACAATCAGAACCGTTGTCCCCCTGAAGAAAACGCCGCTCCCCGTCAATGACACTCTTTAAACTTGATAATAGATACTTAAAAACAAGAAGCACAGGTAGTAGTACTTGTGGGGAGATGGGGTGCACATGCGACAGTCTGGGTTGAAGGAGCCATTATAGGAAGCCATTACAGAGGGCTCTTCTAAAAGCGCAATTTCTCATGCAAAATATTATATTTTGTTGGTGAAATTGCGCCTGAATTCAGACCTGCCCCGGATGACAATTGTTTGTCACGGCCCGGAGTACACATAAAGTACATACAAAGACGACATAAAAATTACACTGGACACAAAAAACACTGGATCATATAAAAGAAAAGACTCCAGACAGTTCAAGGGATTGAATTGAAGAGCCGCTACTGGTTGACATCATCTGTATTTAGAGAACATTGGCATTTTTTTTGGGGGGGGGGGGGGGGGGGGGGGGGGGGTTTTTTCAAAACGCCGCACAATGTAAGATTAAATGTGGCGTACAATGTTGGTTCCGTCAAGCCAATACAAATATTCAGTAGTGATCGGCATTGTACGCCACATTAAATGTGGCGTACAATGTTGGTTCCGTCAAGCCAATACAAATATTCAGTAGTGATCGGCATTGTCTTATTGAATTTCTTTAAAGATATTCGATATGCTGCGAAATAACTTTATCAGTGGTTCTCTAACTATGGTCCACGGAGCACCTTGGCTCACAGGATACTCATTAATTGATGGGAATAATTTTTTTTTAAATTTAAAATGTTGATCAAGTGTAAGATACAATAACTTTAAAACATTATCAAATAATAATGTCAACCTGATAGCCCAGCTTTTCTAACAGACTCATTCTTCAAACTAGTGGGTATCCAAGAGCTCATGCACATTTTAACACTCACATTTTTAATTATGTGGTAAGTTCCAAAGCATTGAGAACCACTAATATTGGATACTAATAAGCAGACCTAAAAAAATAATCGAACGTATATAAATAAGACATGAAATGGCAAAGTAATACGTTTAATACCCGAACAGAAAGTGACGAGTAAAGTTAAAATCGCAAGATCTATATGATAGTCCTGAGCTTAAAGATATGTCTTTCGAGAATCACCTTTACCAATATTAACATGTTGATGAACGTGCAATTTATTTGATTATCCGACTTATAAGTGAAATCTCAAAAGGAAAATGCAGTTTTTGATGTCACTGATTGGTGTTCTAGTATTTCTTCAGATCACATGCAACACACACAGTTCCTGCCCTGTTTCAAAAAGAAGGAAAACTTTCTACAGCGTTGACAGCTCTAGTCTCGGAATTAGACAGCTTGGAAGTAACTTCACATTGGATTCAAAGGCAATCTGTGCCTCAGCGTGTCTGTCAAAATATCCTTCTCATTGTCAGTCATTCATTTACGACCCAATGACAAAGGAGTGCTTACCTGGAGGTCAGCTTGCCACATCTGAGACCAAGAGAAAAACGGGTCAACTGATGTACTCAAACTGTGATTTATCCCTGGGATATTCCTACTCTATCCTGATACAGTTTGGTTACTGCGTGTACACTTCATTGGTCCCGGTGGTGATGGCCACAGCAGAAGTTCACTGTCAAAGTATAAGTGGTCGACTCATGTCAGTGAAAGATTTAGGAGCGATGCAGTTTTTGACAAATTATTCATTAACACATAGCGTTAGTGCCAGTTGGATAGGACTGGACGACAGGGTGGTTGAAGGTGTCTACATTTGGTCTGATGGAACTCCCGCCAACATGTCAGAAATAGCAAAGTTCTGTTTTCCGGGAGAACCTACCAATAGCAATAACGTAGAGGACTGTTTCGTTTTTGAACACAGACCTGAAGGCTTCGGTCTGAACGATGGCTCCTGCACTGGATCATTTCCATTTATTTGTGAATACGTGGTTTAGGACGCCAACAGAATTATGGTTCGAAACTGAGGATTAAGAACAGTGTTACGAAGCTAGTTGTTTAATCTTATTTTAAATCGTAACCTGCTTACTTTTTGTTGCAAGTTGTACTTGAATCATTGAACACTAATACGATGAAATATTCCTCTGCACGGCTTATAAAACAAATGGTGGAATATTTCGGTGTGTTTGAGTCAAATGTCATCTGTTGGCATTCTGTTTCACCAAGAATATTTATAGACATTATAATAATAATAATAATAAAGTTTATTTGAAAAACACCCTCGAAGCGTGGTACAAAGTCAACCATATTAAAAAGAGAAATAAAAACAATCTAAAATTTACCACATTTAAAACAGACGCAACAATATAAAACTACACACGAGCATACAAAGTCAAAGTCTTTCATCCCGTTTCAACCATAAGCAACACAAACCAATATACTTTAAGTGAAAAAGATGGTAGATAGCATCACCCCAGAAGGTGTTTGCGAAATAGATGTGTTTTTAAATCGGTTTTAAAGGACTCCGGTGTAGATATTGTTTATGTTAAAAATGTAATACTTTCTCTATAAAAATAATCAAATTATGAACGTCTCTGTTACTACCATTAGCTTTAGGAATTAATTCAAAAACTGCTAATCAATTCAATATTTAATCTTCAAAGCCCATTGCATTGACATGCATGTCCGCATCGCCGAATACCATCCTAAGTAAACTCGCAGTATATCGTAACAAGCCACCTCGCACTATACCATACTTAGTAACCTCACACTACACCATACTTATTAAGCTCTCACTATACAATACTTAGTAACTTATCAATATACCATACTTAGTAACCTCTAAATATACTTTACTTATTATCTTCTCAATATACCATACTTATTACATCTCAATATACCATACTTATTAACTTCTCAATATACCATACTTAGTAACCTCGCACTACACCATACTTAGTAACTTCTCAATATACCATACTTAGTAACCTCTAAATATACTAAACTTATTATCTTCTCAATATACCATACTTATTACTTCTCAATATACCATACTTAGTAACCTCTAAATATACTAAACTTATTATCTTCTCAATATACCATACTTATTACTTCTCAATATACCATACTTATTATCTTCTCAATATACCATACTTATTAACTTCTCAATATACCATACTTAGTAACATCTCAATATACCATACTTATTAACTTCTCAATATACCATACTTAGTAACCTCTCAATAAACCATACTTATTAACTTCTCCATATACCATACCAAGCCACCTCGTACAATACCACACATTGCCACCACAATAGAAATTAACGTACACTAAAAATATGAAATTAACTTGAACAGCCCGAAATGTCTACGTCCCAATTCTAACCCAATCGTTTTATCATCCATAATGTCGGATCTGTTTGCAACGAAAATCTAAAAGATGAAGTATTTTTAAGTCAGAAGACATTACTTAAGAACCAGAATGAAAACATTACAATGATTTAGGGGTCCTCGGTAGTCGACGGAAGAACATACATGTTTACGTGCACGATCTTTATAAGTTAGTTCTGTGTATGTGGACATATACTATTTAATATATTTTTTGTGGATATGGTAGAAGAAAAACATTTTTTTTTACAAACAGTAAGCAATAATCACACAATTCTTATGACATAATTGATAATCTGTCCACTCTGGCTCGAGTGTATTGCTAAGCGTGGCGTTGTCAAGTTTGTATCCGGTACGAGACTTCACTTATGTCCTTAATCGGCGAAAGGACGGACTTATGAAGTTCAGTTTCAAGGATGTTCCTTTGCAGGCTCGAATACAACACCGTCTGGAGAACACGTGCGTGATTCTAATGATCGAAAAACATACTGGTTGACCAGACTTCCCCTTTCGTTGACATAATGCACTTCCATATTGGCTAAATTGCGTCACAATAAACAACATGAGTTGTGCTACTTGATGCCACCTTATTGTAATTTTTCTACCCCCCCCCCCCTTTTTTTTTTTCAAAACACGCCCCCCCCCCATTTTTGTACAATCATATAATCACCTAGGTACTTTCGAAAATAATTGTAACCTTTAGATACCTTTTAATAAATTTAAACCACATTGCGCTGAAATCTAAATACAATATATGTTTGTGTATGTTTCACTACTTTATTAATTGTAAACCTTCTAATACATTTCATACATACACCCAAAAATTATATGGCCTGACACCTAATGCGGATCTGAAGTGTAGGTATCCTCTAAATGATGTATCGAACCTTTCTAGTCCCTTGAAGTGCTATTTGAGAAATGGTAAAATCCAAAATTCCTTTGATTCAAAAAGAAACTTTTGTAAAACAAAATCTTTGGAATCCTCGTTGGTTTTGATAAAAATGCATCAGTCATATACTGTACCCTACCATTTTACACGCCCCTGAACTATAAAGAACATCCTGGTTCTGGTTCTGGTTCTGGTAATGCTTCGTTGCTGCATCCATGTACTGGCATCTTTGCAACGGTTGGGGGTATGATGTTGCTATTCTAAAAGCTCCTAGCTGTTGCCAGGGCAGCCTTGAAGCTTTCGACTGATGTCGAGTTCACAGTGGCATCGTCCAGGTTGTTCCATGCTATTATTGTGCGTGGGAAGAAAGATTGTTGATACTGCACTGGGTTGCACTGAGGCACTTTGAAGCATTTGCTATTGTTTCTGGTTTAATTGTTCATGGGAATGTCGGTGGTAGACCTATTTTGAAAACAATGTTAATAAACATATATTTCATTAAGCTTTAAAAAATTGTTACATATTATTATGTTATCCATTTTGAGATATAGCTATCCCATAAATATGTACACACACATTTGCTTTGCAACTAAACTATATGTTTTTAAACTGGAAAAAACATATATTTTTTTTTTTATGTCAAGAAGATATTATAATGAGTTTTCCCGTCTGTAACGTCTTATGGTTTTTAAAAATAAATTATTATATTTTCATGAGCATGTTATCCATTTCCCTTGTCTGTGAAATTTAGTTTGTGAAATATTCCATGAATTATTTTTAAAAGAAAATTTAACCTAAATAATTTTATTTTTTAAATAAATGTTCTTCTTAAATAAATTTACGCTAATTTGTCCAGGCTCCAGAATTACAATTTTTGTGGAATTGGAAAATTTTTCAAATAACAACGTACCTATCAATTTTCCCTCCTGTACACGATCGTATTTCGATATATTCTTATGCACAAACAAATATTTAATTTCTTTTCCTTTTACTCCAGAAATGTAATTTCCCCAACTTATTAAGATACACAATAGCTTTTTTTCTAAATAATGTATCGAAGAAAAAAATGTCTAAGTCTGTAACACACTTGTGGTTTGTGAGTATTGTTACCTTAATAAGTGTGCACCAAATCCTTATGGTCGCCCATGAGCTGTATGTTGGGATTATTGTTTCCTTCATAAATGTGCAATATATGTTTACCGTTGCCCTGAGATGTGTCTCAGAAATAATTGGTTCGAGAATAAAGGAAAATAGAGTGGGAAAAAACAACGAAAGTCAAAGTTAATTAATAGTCGATTGCGACATGAGAGAAACGATACTTTGCATTACTGTGAATCTATTGTTAAGTGAGCTTATGTTTAAGTGACGATGTCATTCCCATGTAACCATTGGCTTTTCACAAACGTGATCGAATCTACATTTCCTATCGTGAAAGGAATCTACATTTTCGAGTAAATCTAGTAAGAACGAAATTTACGTATTGATGTCTTGAAAAACTAAATGACCTACACTGCCGTAATCACTTCCTGATATACGAATGCTATTTGAATCGCCGACCATCAAAAGAGAAGTGAAGCGATCGCGTCGCAGAGAGCGAGACTTTAAAAGATGTTACATACTTGTGAATAAGTTACGTAACTCAATAAGCATGTTTTATATCATATTTTATGTGTAATCCCCCCTTACTCATCAGCTCCTACTCAAATTAAAAGGTTAATGGAACAATCTTTCCAGGAATCAATTAAATGTTTTTCATTATTTGTTTATAACAGTCAAAATCCCTTTTGTTTTTAAATTTATTGTATTACGCCGTACAACTCGGTAAACAACATCTTCAGAGGAGTTCAACAAAAACCACTAGATTTCCACATGACTTAAGTCAATTTTTGCACCTGGACCCTTATTTACATTTAAGATAATAGAAAACAAAAAGAAAATTATGATTAAAAAAAGAAATGTAATTAACATTCCTCGATTTCCGAAAGGAAAAAAAAAAAAAAAAAAAAAAAAAAAAATAAAAGAGAAAAAAAAAAAAAAAAAAAAAAAAATAAGAAAAAAAAAAAAAAAATAAATAAAAATTCCTGGATTCCCAAAAGAAAAAAAAAAAAAAAAAGGAAATAATAATTGAAGCGAACTTATGCAAATAAGGTTAAAGGTCATCGAGTAGACACAGGTTGCACTAGCCGAATCACGTTCATGACAATGGATTGTGCTTCCAAAGATTAATTAAAATGAAATTTGAAAATGTGTGATGCACACGTGAGGATCAAAGGTTTTGTGATAACCTCCGATAAACAGAGGATACGAGCGAAACCTAAATGAACTCAAACCAGCTGCCGTTGAACGGCCAACCCGAATCGATCCAAAATGTTGACAACGGTTCTGAGTTGTGCACGTGACGTAGGTCAATCACCAGACTTTGCTTTGTTTGCCCATGTCGAGAACTACATCAATCAATTTGAACTAATTCTTTTCAGAGACTTTTCAACAAAACCAATGGTTGGCGTCATGACGGTTGAATGGTTTAGTTACGCCATTGGCGTTACAGTGGCGGTTGTCCATTGTTAGGGTGTTCGGATCGCAAAGAGAATAAAAACGTCGTGTAGGTAACAGGAGCGGCGATCCCGTATTAGGGTGTTAAGATCGCAAGAGAATCAGCAGGTTTTGGAGGTTACAGTGGAAAATACATATAACAGAAGTGTAAAGGCTACAACTGAAC